TATCCACAATTATTTCGCAAAAGAAAACTAAAAAAAGCCAAATTTCCTGGACGATGCATGATGTTTACATTAAATCTAGCATAAATGCTTCATAGTGGAGACATTAAAAGTTTTTGCCAGCAATTATTGCAAAAACCCAGAGAGATCCAAACACCATATTGTCACAAGTCACAACATCACATAGAAAGAAATTTAATCAGAAATAAAAGATAATAATGAAAACATTGAACCTCTTGATCTTGCCAAGTCCCCTGTTCCCTATAATAAGGCAGCTAAGGGGAATATTATCCACTGCTTCACATATCTTCTCCCGAGCATCGCCCCAGTATATTTTCAACAGCACCACAATCTACTCTCACAGACATGAACAATGTATACATAAATTGCATAGTATGCATCTCTTGAAGTACTTCAAAGGTCAGTAATTCAAAGAAAAAAATTACCTCTTTCTGCCTAGAGGCAATAGTGACAATATCCAATGTTTCTGGGTCAGGATGCACCCCATATTTCTTCATGACATGAGGATCAGAGAACTCATTTAAAGGGATTAAAGCTGACAAAAACAAATCAATGGGATAAACATACCAACAATTTTAAAAAACAGAGGCCCATATAGACAAACAATAAACTAAACTCTTACTAGTATGTTTCCAAATTCTGCATAGGCAGTATGAATAACCAACACCTATAAACTGATATAAACACATATAGTCCAAAGTATTTATTGATAATTGGCATCTTATAAATAAAAAAGTAACATAAACCCAGGCTTTACTGTTCTAAAAAAATTGTAAATCTTGTTGAAGTAATCTTTTAGAATAGATGGTTGTTTAACATAGTATCAGTGTGGTCCTATATTATTTTCCCGTGCTAGATTCAAAATCTAGTATGTATTTGAGGTGACGTGTTGAAGTATAAATACTAAAATTATAACCACTCTAACAATTTAAGCTTTTTGGAATAGATGATTGTTTAATATGCTATCAGAGTAGCAAGGCCAGTGTTCGACTCTCATTGCCACCTTAATGATTAAAAGATTTCTACTTATTAGGATCAAAATCTAGCCTTGGGCGTGTTGAAGTATAAATATTTAAGTTACACTTTCTCTAATAGCTTTTAGAGTATGTGGTTGTTTAAAAAATCTGCTGTCAACAACTTGTATGCTATTAAAAGTACTACACTATCAATTCTCACCAAAATAAACACCATTTGTGGGATCTATTATCAGAATCTACCATATAACTTCAGTGAAAAACCATGACACTCGATCAACAATCCCTGATTTTAAAACTCTACACTGACCCCTTCATTCACAGGAATAGCTGAGGTGAGTCAGGTGACCCGGGGGTCAACTCATCGTGTAAATCTCACCAACCAGACCCAAAAAAAAGTGTACAAGAACCTATACAATTACACATAAGAATAAGAACACATATAAATAAATATACATGTAACATATTGTTGTGAACATACAGTACAGTCAACAATCAAGAACAAAAATAATCGAGAACAAGAACACAAGATTTAAACACCACCCATTATTCCCAACACATATATATCTATATAGAAGGAGAGGGAGAGAGGAAGAGGGGGGGGATGAGGAAGTGAAACGGATCATACGAGAACCGGTGGTCTGCCAGAGCTGCATCTCTCCCTCCTCATAATTTCCTTCGGGGAGTACGTTAACGAGGATAAAATGATCCCCTTTCCGGACAACGTTATCCACAGCCCACTTAAGCGCCTTTTTGCTACATGCCGAGAAATCCACGGCCACACCCACTCTCCTATCTCCTTCCATTTCTCTCTCTACAATTCTCTCTTATTGTCGGAATACCGGAGAATCGAGCTGAGGAAAACAAGAAGCTCTAATGGTGCGAGGAAAAAGGCGAAGGCAAGGTCTTTCAAAGAAGATGACAATCAAATCCGTCAACTGTTGTACATAACGGATAGTGCGTATCATCCAACGGTAGAGATACAGGAAGTGTCCCCATCACATGTNTGTACATAACGGATAGTGCGTATCATCCAACGGTAGAGATACAGGAAGTGTCCCCATCACATGTAGCCCACATGTATGAGAGTCGACTTTCTTGCGTTCAATTACGTGTACCCGACAATAATGCATAAAGTCGCGTGAGAAAGTTATCCGGGTCAGAGTCCGACCCGAATCTAACGGAATTTTAGGTTGTGTTCTTAAATCTTTAATTAATTAGTATTAATTTTGACCAGAAGATTCAGATTAGGCCTGGGACAGTCTATACGTTAAGTATAAATTATCAAACGGTAAGTAAGACTTAACTCATGCTTTCAATATAATTCAAAACTCAAAAGTTTAGAAAAAGTCAATCGTACGTGAAAAAATAATCATCAGAATAAATAATCATCGGAATAGTTATTATTCAAATATTATGTATATTCTCAATTGTAATTATCCTCCCCAATAAATTAGTAATTTGACCTTCACGTTACCACCATAGCTAGGGCTCTATGCCTATAAATGTTCTTCGGCTATCGTACCCTATTCTCTTTTATTAATAAAGTTTTTCAATCACCGTTGCCACATTTAGTGGTTAGGTCACTTAGACCTAACTATCATATCATTGTCTTTTATTATTAATTATTTTGCACCACGTACTCAAATGATTTGGTCGTACATAATTTACTTTGTGCATCATTAAATCTCATCTTTCACGTTGGGATAGTCCTAACATCATTATTAGGGATATAAAAATATGACACAACTTGTTAATATGATAATAACACAATGCAAAAATATAAAGTTTGAGTCTTTTTTAAGCCACTTATTTAATAAACGAGTGGACTCGACATGATACGATCAATAATAAACGAATCGGGTATGAGTGAAACAAATAAAAAAAAATATACGATACAATTTATTTATATACCGTTATATACGATTGATATATAAAATAAATTCGATATAACACGATTTGTTAGATACAAATTAATTAATTAATTATAAATATAGTATTTTTTGACATAAAACTCGTTAAGACCTTACACGACCCGCTCCGTTCCATTCGATTTAATTGATCGACTTAATCATTACAGAGTTTGGTGTTGCCTTCGGCTTGTTTCCATTAATTTTCTTTTTTAAATAAATCATTTGTATATACATCTTTTGTTCGGGCTTTTTAAGATTAATGCTCTGTTTAGTAGGAATGATGAAAAATAAGAAGGACGAAAAGTATGAGGGATACACTTTCTATCCTTTGTGTTTGGTTGGATGTATAGAAAAATGGGTTTGTGTCGAACATTAGTTACACTTTACTCAACTCATTTAATTAATTGTGTCGTGTCGAGTAACGAATTGACTTGTTTAATTTCGTGTCATGTTTGTGTTTCAGTTAATCAAGTTTATGTCATAAAATTTGCGTTGAGTTCGAGTCGTGTCATCATATTGAGTCAAAATTTTTTATCCCTAGTTAAGATGGAAAAAATATTTTTTTTAATTTTTTTTAAAATATATACAAATACATATTTTATCATTATATTTTTATATGAAATTAATATGTACATATATTTATGTATATATTAAAATATATAGACAAATAAGATATATCTCAACGCAAATAATTAATTTTTCATTTACTTTACTTTCGATTTTGGAGAGATTAATTTTGGTGAGTTAGAAGGAAAGTTAATTCATCAATTTTTCTATCATTCGTATTTTCTTTTTTTTATCAAATATGATGTTTTTTTCATCTATCCAATTTTTTATCCTACCAATTTTTGCATTTTTTTATTTTTTTATTGTACTGAAGGGAGGATAAAGGTTGGTCAATGAGCAACATCTCCTATCAAAGTGAGGGTTACCCGGGGATCGGGTGTATTCTTTGTTCAAACAAGGATTGGACTCCAATTTCTCGTCTAAAGCCTGTGATGTGTGCTCCTAAAGGCACATTCATATTTTGAACCGCTTTAAATTGCTCGCAAGAGGTAGATGATCCCCTTTGAGAAAAAACAATTGACCTATAGGTTTAGAGTCCGAATCGAAAGAAATTTTACTGCTGTACTTGAATTTTTACATGAGTATCAATTAAAAATCCACGAATGTTGTATGAGCCGTTTTTCTATCTAGTTCGATCGACCCATTATAATTTGGGTATGCGATGATCGAATGATTAATAACAACTTCGTAATTTAATAGGAGATGTAGATTCCCTTGTTTCAAATTTTATTAATTTAAATTCACTAGTAAGATTTGAAATTAAGAGCGAGGTCCACTCAAATAAATATATATATTTTATTTTTTTTCTTGAGAGATTTTTTATTGTAAATTTAAGTGACTCTCTCATCAGTAAAGTCTGATTGATATATTAAAAAAATTTGTAAAAATATATAAATTATATATATCTATATAATAAAATAACTTATAATTCAAATTTCAAAAGATAAACAAAATGACTTTTACTATTCGAGGTTGAGATCACTTTAAATTTTACTTTAAAATTAATCTAACGGTTAATATTAACATCTTAAATTTAATAGAAAAAATAGAGCCCTAAGGGTGTGTTTAGAATAACTTGATAAAAATACTTCTAAAAACTACATCTCATAAATACTTTAAAAAAATAGTATTTGAAACCGTCTCACCCCCACCACCGTCACTACCGTTGCTGCCACCACCATCGCCGCCGCCATCACCACCGCCACCACGGTCTCTTACCACCAGCGCTGTCGCCCACCACCTCTCACCCCCACTACAAATTGATATTTAAATTCTTTTTTCTTTTATCTCTTCTCTATATTTGTAATTTTATTTTTGATATAAATATAAGTACAAATATATTTATTGTTTATTATTTTTTATTATTCTGTGTCTTCAAGTACAGACAATTATATATATATATATAATAAAGTAGCTTATAATTCAAATATCAAAAGATAAATAAAATGACTTTTACTTTTCGCAGTTGAGATCTCTTTAAATTTTACTTTAAAGTTAATTCAACGACTAATATTAACATTTCAAATTTAATAGGGAAAATACACTCATAAGGGTGTGTTTGAGATAACTTTTTAAAAGTAATTCTACGATATATAACTTTTCATAAATACATTTTTTTTAAAAAAAAAAAATAGTATTTGAAACTACTCCACTACCCCACCACCACAACTATCCCCACCATTGCAACTACCATACCTCCACTTTAACTTCAACAACCACCACCATTGTCACCACGCCACCACCACTACCACACCCGCAACCCCATCACTATCATCATCATTACCACAATTCCTATCGCTCCACCACTACCATCATCACCGATGTCGCCACCCTACCACCACCCCCTTCCCCACCACCGTTGTCACCCAACCACCATCATCTCTTCTACAACAATCATCACCACCATCGTCGCTGCCACCACCACCACTGTTGCCCATCATCACTACTATCGTTCGCTCCAACTACAACTGGTGTTTAAAATTTTTTTTTCTCTCATTTATTTTAGGTATAAATACAAATATGTTTATTTTTAACTTTTTTTTATTACTTCGTACTTTTAGACACGAGAAATAACTAGTTTATATAATAAAGTATAATATAATTCAAATCTCAAAAGATAAATAAAATGACTTTTTTTTTTCGCGATTGAGATCACTTTAAATTTTAATTTAAAATTAATCTGATAGCAAATATTAACATCTCAAATTTAATAGAAAAAATAAGCATATGAAGGTATGTTTTGAGTGACTTTTTAAATATATTTTTAAAAACTTATAACTTCTCATAAATACTTAAAAAAAAATATATTTGAAATTGCCACACTACCCCCCTCCCATTATCACTATTACCACCACCACTTCTGCCACAACAACCACCATCACTGTCATTGTCACCCCACCACCACACCCACTATCAGTATCACTACTACCACACTCCTCTACCACCACCTCATCATACCCACCACCACCACCATCACTACCACAAACACTACTGTCACCGCCACTACCACCACCACCATTTCCACCACAACAACCGATTTCTATTATCGTCGTACACCATCATCACCACTACAAATCATCATCTCATTCGTATATTTATTACCATTACTATCGTCGTTCACCGTTAACACCCACCATCACAATTGTTGCTAACTACCACCCATTACCACAACCCACCACCATCTATCATCATCTACCATCTCTGCCAAGCACTGTCACCCACCACCCCACCACACCTACCACCATTAGTCATCGCCCACCACTATCACCACCACTTACCACCACCACCACTACTATCATTTGTCACCAGTTATCATAATGTTGCTCAGAAACACTTGTCGTTGTCTATCGCCGCTGTCAACCATCATCATCGTTGTCCACCGTCACCTACATCCATCGCCATCATCATTGCCCACCATCACCCATACCCACTACCATTGTCACCCAAAATCCACCACCACTGCTATTCATTATCACTACCACTGATCACTCCCAATACAACCAGTGCTTAATTTTTTTATTTTTTTTTTTATAATTTAATTTTGGGTATTAATATAAATATATTTATTGTTGACCATTTTTTTATTACTCCATACTTTTAGACACAAAAAATAACTAATATATATATATCGGATATAAACCCATTAATATCGCTCAATGAAATGAATAACAGAATTTGACAAACTTATAATTGAGAGCACACAAATCTCTTAACATCTTTACAATGCAAGTTGAACTTAATGAAATGTTAACATATTTTAAAACTCAACATCAATAAAATCAGTACAAAGTACCCCAATTTTACCTCTAATTTACCATCGCAGCCCAAAAATGCCATTGCACATCCGGAAAAATAGATACAGACAAAATAAATAAATGAAAAGAAAAAGCGGGTAAAGCGAATTGGAATTTGTCTTTTCGCTTTGGCTTTTGTCCATTTGCCTTCTTTTTACCTTTAAAATTTTTAATACAAGAAAATTTTTGAAATACAGATATTATGTGCAGGGGGAATGATTTTTTTGTATCCTAAAAAATTTATTAAATATTTATTTTATATCTTAAAAGATTAAAATTTTTGCATTATACTCTCTATTTAATAAAATAATAAAAAAATATTAATAAAATATGGCTTATTTTTTAGGCTCTCTTCACTAACTAAAATCAGTTCTTCATGAACTCCGTTAGCTAAGAAAGAGTCATTCTCCCTCATAGTAATCAGTTTGTTGTCTCCAGACAAAAGTCTTACTCTTGTAGGCCCCAGAAGTCAAGGGGTTATACAAGGAGTAAATGTCTGTTGCTTTTTTATTTTTTTTTAATAAATAATAATATTAAATTTTAAATATTTTTAACAGATATTTGGTATGCACTCTTCTTAAAATGAAGCACATTTCTACTTTCTGTTCGATTGTGGATATAATAATATGAAAAATTTAATTTTTAAGGTATAAATTGAGAATGCAAAGATTGTTTGGGGGTAAAAAGTGTAATTTTCCTTTTTTCTATATATTGCAATGCCCTATTGACCATAAATGATGCGAACACTTCCTAGTGAGGAAAGCTTCGGTGAAGAAGATGAGCTGCGATTCGTTGTAGAGAATCTAGGGTTCTCTGGTTCAAAAATCATATCAACAATGACGTTTTGGTGGCCTTTGCTCGTTCTCGCATTCGCTTTCGTGATCTGTAGGTTCCTTCTGATGCTCATTCCTTCCAATGTTCCTTCTATCGACGTGGACGCTTCTGATGGTAGTTCTCCTTCTCTCTCCAGATACATACATTTGAATCTAGACATTTACAGATACATCTATATCTATATAAACACATATGTATGTGTTTATGTGATTCTCATGGTTTGTTGCCGTGTTTGTTTGAAAATTACAGTGTTGGATGATGGAAATCAAACCAAGGAAAACAGCTTCATATATGTAAGTCTATCAAAATGCTGCTTAATTTTAGTGTTTAAATTAATTTTTACCAGTAATGTTCTCATTTATGAGTTTCTGTTTTCTAATTGTGATTGATTCAAGAAACATAACTATAAAGCAAATCTGGAATGGATGTGAATTATAACTCCTCACGAGACAGAGTTTATGTGTTTGTATGCAAATCGCCTTTACTTTGCTCAACCTAATGAGTGTAACTGAACTGATTAATTTTACATTGCTGAAAACGCACGCTTGATAAGGTGGATTAATCATTGAAGTGTTCCGGATTATCTCGATGAGTGTGCTTCTGATAGTTCAAAATGTGCATTTACTAGAAATTGTTTTTGTAATATCTGGAGTAGTTATGTGGCCAAACTCGGACAAGGTTTAGGTAGGTCTGGCTACTCACATTTCATTTCGAATTTCAATCCAGATTCCTTCCAGAAGGCAGACTGATAAAGTACAATGCTACGAGCCTGCAACGATGAAGTACCTTGGTTACTACCCTGCATTGAAACCTGATGAGGTTGGTGTCTTCATTATCCCTCCCACCTTCCCCCCCCTTTTCCCTCTTTTCTAGGGTAGTGATTTCTTATTTCACAAAGGATTTGCTAATATGATTATCTATGAAGTTGTAGAGCTTTTGGTTAGTTTTATTCCTGTTTTCTTATTGATGAAATTTAAGATGCTAGGATCTCTGTTCCATACTGTTAGAAATAAATATAGCTAATTCTGCAATATGTAGTGCTTAATAAGCCTCTTACTTTGGTTTCTTTGCTTCATTTCTTTTCTTTATATCTTTCATATGATTGGATATTTAAACATTTTAAAAAAGCAAAAATATGATCGTTTCTCTGTAAACTTATAGAATCAACTGGCAACAATTGACTTTCAAGGATTAACCGGATTGATTGATAGCTCTTCTCAATTTAGAATATAGTGCTAGCCTTCTCTTTGGTTGCATGTAGTTCTTTTCACTGCCATTTTCTTGAGGTTATAGGTTTCTATTTGCATGATACAACCATGTTCTCGATATCAGATACATGGATGCATATGCATACATGCACAACCTCATATATAATCAAGGTAAGTAGCATAAAACTGACAACAAAAAACATTTTCAGGTCAGGGAGCGTGTGACCCAAGCAAGGAAGGCTCAGAAAATATGGGCAAAGAGTAGCTTCAGGCAAAGACGCCAGTTTCTGCGGATACTTCTTAAGTATATTATTGAACATCAAGAGCTTATATGCAAGTAAGGTTTTCTTTATTGCCCCAATTGAGGATTCATTTGTAAATATTAACTTCTATGAAGTACAGACAGATATTTGTTATATTCCAACAACATAGTGAGCTAGAGACCTACATATCAAGCTTAGGCTGGAGTTATATATCAAACTTGGTTCCTTTCTTACTATTCCGTGTCATTGTCCTGTTGGTTGAAGCTTTCTTATTTGTCAATTGCTTCAAATTTACTTCATGTATGGTGAACTATTGATATGAAGTACTGCTGTCCTGGTTCATGTGCTATTTTAATTAGCATATCTTCACGTGATACTGGAAAGACAATGGTCGATGCTTCCTTGGGGGAAATAATGACAACCTGTGAGAAGATCACTTGGCTTCTTGCAGAGGGTGAGCGGTGGCTAAAGCCTGAATACCGGTAGGTGTTACTATCTTACCTTATTTTTTTTTAATCTGGTTGATTTGCATCAAGTGTGGATAAAATGACATTTTTGCTCTAACTCAGAAAAATAGAATTATCATTCAATTACGAAGTTTAAATTTATCTAATAGATTTATTGCTATTTTAGTAATTTTTTTTTCTTTCCCCACACTGTAGTTGCTTATATCCATGCACTAGTCTATACTTCTTATGTGCCAATTACTTGTGTTGGCTTGATTTGCCCTTCATTTTTGGCAACATCATTGCTTGAGTCACTCTACGTTGTGATCAAGAGATGTGCACTCACACTTTTGTCATTTTCTTAATTCTAAAAGACCTGAACAAAAACCATTTCAATTAGTATTCACGTCATAATGCATTCTTATTGTGAAATTCTCACAATGTTTGCGCTTATTTTCCAAATGCCTTAATTTTGGGGACATAATGTTTTGGCCACAATAAACTGGCACTATCAATTATTTCCGCATTTTTTTATTACTTGTGATATTTTCTTTTTGAAAAAGATTATGCACAAGAGAAGGGTTAAAGGAAAGTGATTATTGTTATTTGGTGGCTCTCAGGTCTTGTGGGAGATCAATGCTTCACAAGACAGCCAAAGTGGAATTTCACCCCCTTGGTGTAATTGGTGCTATTGTTTCGTGGAACTATCCATTTCATAATATATTTAATCCGATGTTAGCAGCTGTCTTTTCAGGGAATAGTATTGTGATAAAGGTATTGTGTTTGTGCCATGTACTCAAATATTCCATGATGTTTAGTTTAGGTTAATGTGTCTGAATATTCCCATTGTGCCTGATTGAACAACTCTGTTTCTGAGCTGGGGTTGTATTTATTGAAGTGGAACTATAGCTTAAATGCTTGTTCACATTAATGTTTGGAGGGTTCATTTGAAGCATTCCGTAGACATCATATATGTGTCTGCTGCTTTCCTGGCGAGGTCTCTCAGTACTTGTGTTCAATGGTAGTGCAGTGGTTGGTGCAGGGAAACATATTCTGATTCTTCTTGCGTACATAGCTTTGAGATACTCAGGATTTGTTTGGCCACTGGCACTAAAAAACTATTCAAGTAAACAGTTGAAGACCCTCTTTTCATTTCAGCTGAAAACAGAGATGCATGAGCAATGTCGAAGTTTTCTTTGATGCTTTCAGGAAGCTTTCTTTTCTTTTTTTTTTTTCCTTCTATTTTGTGTGTATGTGTGTGAGGTCAAGTTCCAATTCAATAATTGCCTTATGACATTGTTTTGGCCATGAGACCTTTTAAACCCAAATAACAAAGATGATGGTCTCTGGCTTGTCTTTCTTTGGTGGCCACTTTCTTCCTCACCTCTTCCCCGCGCCTTTCTATAGTTCATATTATACATCACGGCTTCTTGCTAGGTGTCTCTTCTGGTGTGATATGCATATAAATGCTCTGTTACTGATGTCAATGGAACTACTGAACTACATGCTGTTTTAATCTTACATTATTGTGTAATTACATATGTAACAGAATCTTCTGATGCCCTACTCTTTTGTATTGATTACTGTCTTTTATAATTATCATTCCTCGGCATTTTGTAATAGGGTAGTATACTGTTACCAATTGTTATTCTAACAGAAAAATGCGTGATTGTTAATGTAGGTTTCAGAGTATGCTAGTTGGTCTGGATGTTTCTATATGCGAATAATCCAACAAGCCCTTGCTGCTGTAGGAGCTCCTGAAAATCTGGTTGAAGTAATTACGGGGTAGGAAGTTCTGTTGTATTTAGTTGTTCTCTTGGCTTGTGTTGATTCATGTAACTCAAATTGGACTTCTTTCCCAGGTTTGCTGAAACTGGAGAAGCACTAGTGTCCTCGGTTGACAAAATTATATTTGTTGGATCACCAGGTGTGGGCAGAATGGTACGATCATCCCCCTCACTTGGGCTACTAAATAGATGTCATGGATCTTTTCACCGGAACAGGACTTTTATTTCAATTTTTTGTCTCTCCAATGTCTCTGCAGCGGCTCTATGTAACATTTCAAATGTTAGATATATTTTTTTTTTAACACAAATGTTAGATATTCACTGTAACAAATACTAACAAACTTCTTGTTTTATTATTGAGAGCTTTTGCTTTAAATTTTCTAGTTATTTTCAATTTGTAACTATCAACCTCAGTAGGTTTTTGATGCATTTCGAAATTTCTAATGGTCAACCTCTACAGGTTGTTCTTGTTGTTGATTTGAACACTATCTTAAAGAGGGGCCTTACATTGGATATTCACTGCAACGAATACTAATAATATTCTTGTTTTATTGTTGAGAGCTTTTACTTTAAATTTTCTAGTTATTTTCAATGTGACTATAAGCCTCAGTAGGTTTTTCTTGCATTTCCTAGTTTCTGACAGACAACTTCAATAGGTTGTTCTTCTTGTTCATTTGAACACTATCTTAAAGAGGCGCCATATGTCTAGAGAACCTTATAAGTTATAAGGGAACTCACAGATTCACACATTGTCTCTACCCGACTACCCGCCTACATTCTGCATAAAATACTGTTCCTGCTTCTTCTGATATAGTTTTGAGATGACTGAGTTATTTTGCATCATTGATGTGCACTTTTTGTATGCCTGCAGATAATGAAAAATGCTGCTGATAAGTTGATACCCGTTACCCTTGAGCTAGGAGGAAAAGATGCGTTTATTGTCTGTGAGGATGTAGACGTGCCTCATGTATGATCCACGTTAGTGTCTATTGGATTCAGATGTGGCCGTTGACTGTCCTTACTGTTTTTTGAGACTCTTGGACCTCTGCCTTTAAGTGTGGTTAATTGTTTTTGGGTCATTGAATGTAATTTAGGTTGCACAAATTGCTGTTAGGGCTGCTCTCCAATCAAGCGGACAGAATTGTGCTGGGGCTGAGAGATTTTATGTTCATCGGGATGTTTATTCTTCATTCGTCGCTGAAGTGGTCAAAATTGTAAAATCTGTTACAGCTGTAAGTATGTTCCATCGAATAAATTCTCTATCTAAATCTTCTTGGTCTTAAGGAATGATTCTGACTTTGAATGTATTCTGCTTGGTATATGCATATGATGAATTTTTGACTGCTAAGTTGGCACACTCTAGTAACGTCATTCATTTGGAGCCCATTGACATTGGTTTCTGACTAAAACTTATATCCACTTGAAGGAAGGCAACTAAGCAGTGTTCTATTGCTTTCATATTGTGTTAATCAATGTACAACTAGCAGGTGAAGAGTTTGAGAAGCAACTCAACAGAGTGCCATTGCCCAGTTATATGATATAGGACGGGCTAAAAATTCATGGCACACATCTAGAAATCTTTAGAAGTGTCAGCTAACAACCGTGAGGTTGTTTAAATCTTGGAGCAGCCACTTGGTGCAAATAATAATATCTATGATTAGGATTGTATATAATCTACCTTTCCCAGCCCTGGTTCAAGATCGCGGTATCAACCACAAAATCAGAGGACACTGAGATGCATTGATTGTGCCGCTGTAGGACAGTATTGGGAGATACGCACGAAATGCTAAATCATAAAATTAGACATGACGAGAGATTCAGGTCATATAGCGGTATTACAAAAATGGTATTATCGCGTCACAAAAATGATGCCTCACATGACTTAGCCAAGTTATCCGAGAGTAGTATTGAAATGGAAGGTGTTGAGTCGGATAGCACTCGCTGACTCTTATCAGTATACTTTGACCATGCTCCTAGCACCTTTCGGGAGCCAAACTAAGTAATAACCCTTTATTGTTCAAGTTAACAGATTAGAAGGATTTTTTTTTTTTTTCTGCTTGTCATTCCACTTTCAGAGGTGAGAATTTCAGAATTTTAGTATGGACATTGATGAATCCACCTTGTGTCATACTTTGGACTTGATCCCAGTGTGAACATTCATCTATGTTATGGTGCTGCTGCCAGCTGTCAGGTTTTGATTTAATGTCGTTCCTTTAATAGGAAGAGTGGAGCAGTAATCTTGTTCTTGGCTTCTGTTTATCATTCGTAATCCTACATTTGGATGACGTGATTCATAGGCAGATGTAACACACTTTAGGATTGCTTGAACTTATCAGAAATTGGGGTCTAAAGTTCTAAGCTGCAAGTACGGGATGTTTGTTTTAAATTCATTTCCCTTGGAAACAGATTCATTCTTCTACCTGATAATCTTCTGCAGGGCCCTCCACTGGCTGGAAAGTATGACATGGGAGCCATATGTATGCAAGAACATTCTGAAAAGCTTCAGAGTCTTGTAAATGATGCCTTAGACAAAGGGGCTGAAATTGTTGGCCGGGGAAGTGTTGGCAATATAGGTGAAGGTGCTGTTGATCAATACTTTCCTCCCACTGTTATTGTAAATGTAAACCACACAATGAAGTTGATGCTGGAGGAGGTAATTCACTTTTCATCAGACAATTAATGTTGTGTTTTCACTTCCCATGGAAATGAAAACTGTTCCGCCCTGTTCATGGTGGCAATTGCCGCTGAGGCTGCGCTGGTTGCATTTTCTAGCTGCAGTTAATAGAATTTTTCTTCATTCTACTCCACTATCTTATCTTATGATGCCTACTTTTTCTGCATTGGCTGTTTTCGTATATAGGAATTTATATTGCATGACCTATTGAAATATATAGAATGCTTTGATTCATGTGTGAATAAGAAGCATTTTACTATTTTACTAGATTTCTGGAAAAGTGCTCTTAACTTTTTGTTTTACCACCTCCATTATTGTGCAGGCTTTTGGACCAATTATGCCAATAATGAAATTCAGCTCCGACGAAGAGGCTGTCAAGCTTGCAAATGATTCCAAGTACGGGCTTGGTTGCGCTGTGTTTTCTGGCAGTCAGCACCGTGCGAAACATATAGCTTCCCAGTTACATTGTGGAGTTGCTGCAATCAACGACTTTGCATCATCTTACATGTGCCAGGTAATCTTATCACATAGGTGGTCAAGTATTAATTACTGGAAATGAGCCTTCCCGGAGGCTTATTGAGAGTATGCCTATTCTAGCTCATACATAAACAAACTATATCCTAAATCTCGACAATAGCATTAACTGAATACTGTTGTTTGCTGATAGAAGTTGGACTAAAGGGAAATAGTGCCAAGTATGACGGAGCCAAAAGGAGCAAAAGTAATTTCATCTGGAATGGAATGGTCCTATGTTCTTTATCCTAAAGCAACTATTGCATTCTTAATGTTAACTTAATGCACCCACTCAGACATCAGACTGTTAACAGTTCATTTCTAGGGCAATCCTAAGCCTCAACAATGGGCCAAGCCTACCCAGACAGACACAGATCATGATGCGTAGGGATGTCATTAGACCGAAGCGGGGGCGGGGAGTGTAGTTTTTATTCCCATACCCGCTTAAAAAAATTCCGTCCATCCCCGGATATAGTTTTCATCCCCATCCCCGTCCGCGGATAAATTTCTANACGTGATTCATAGGCAGATGTAACACACTTTAGGATTGCTTGAACTTATCAGAAATTGGGGTCTAAAGTTCTAAGCTGCAAGTACGGGATGTTTGTTTTAAATTCATTTCCCTTGGAAACAGATTCATTCTTCTACCTGATAATCTTCTGCAGGGCCCTCCACTGGCTGGAAAGTATGACATGGGAGCCATATGTATGCAAGAACATTCTGAAAAGCTTCAGAGTCTTGTAAATGATGCCTTAGACAAAGGGGCTGAAATTGTTGGCCGGGGAAGTGTTGGCAATATAGGTGAAGGTGCTGTTGATCAATACTTTCCTCCCACTNTGGATTTTCTCACTATTGGACCAATGTAGTACCCTGTTGCGGAGAATGGCTTTGAGTTTCAAGAATCACTTGTAGAAGCACTCTACGGCTTGAATATCTGGGACCGTTTGCGGGCATTGGTGGATGTTATCAAAATCCTTGCAGAACCGAATTCGCCTACCAGCAATAAGAGAAGAAATGAGTGAGCACTATTATGCTATCTAGCTGGCAACATATTCACTGGTTTTCTGACTAAACAAGGCACTTACCGTCAATCTAGCTCAGGTGAGATTCAAATTTCAAAAACTAAAAGAGTGAGGCAACATTTGGGGAACTTTTTATTGTTGTCTTTTTGGCATAAAATGTATTGCTTTCCCTCCCTTTTTCCATCCTACTTGCCCTTGGCTTTATTAATTTTTCATCTCATAAAACTCTAAAACCCACTGCTTGAACAATACAAACTTGAAGGGGTGGTTGAGGTTAATTCCCCTTCAAGATGAATCACACAATTCACTAACAGTTAAAAATTCCTTGTTAATATATTGTTAACCATGGAAAACATGGCATCTTTAACTAAATAATAATATTGTTTTTAATAGAGATGCATTACCTAGTAACTTGCCTATAAATAAATGGATTAATGTGAGTTCTAAATAAATTAGGTAATAAGATTTATTTTAATTAAGCAAGTTAAAATGGATTATAAATGAGTATTTATTTNTTTATATTGCATGACCTATTAAAATATATAGAATGCTTTGATTCATGTGTGAATAAGAAGCATTTTACTATTTTACTAGATTTCTGGAAAAGTGCTCTTAACTTTTTGTTTTACCACCTCCATTATTGTGCAGGCTTTTGGACCAATTATGCCAATAATGAAATTCAGCTCCGACGAAGAGGCTGTCAAGCTTGCAAATGATTCCAAGTATGGGCTTGGTTGCGCTGTGTTTTCTGGCAGTCAGCACCGTGCGAAACATATAGCTTCCCAGTTACATTGTGGAGTTGCTGCAATCAACGACTTTGCATCATCTTACATGTGCCAGGTAATCTTATCACATAGGTGGTCAAGTATTAATTACTGGAAATGAGGCTTCCCGGAGGCTTATTGAGAGTATGCCTATTCTAGCTCATACATAAACAAACTATATCCTAAATCTCGACAATAGCATTAACTGAATACTGTTGTTTGCTGATAGAAGTTGGACTAAAGGGAAATAGTGCCAAGTATGACGGAGCCAAAAGGAGCAAAAGTAATTTCATCTGGAATGGAATGGTCCTATGTTCTTTATCCTAAAGCAACTATTGCATTCTTAATGTTAACTTAATGCACCCACTCAGACATCAGACTGTTAACAGTTCATTTCTAGGGCAATCCTAAGCCTCAACAATGGGCCAAGCCTACCCAGACAGACACAGATCATGATGCGTAGGGATGTCATTAGACCGAAGCGGGGGCGGGGAGTGTAGTTTTTATTCCCATACCCGCTTAAAAAAATTCCGTCCATCCCCGGGTATAGTTTTCATCCCCATCCCCGTCCGCGGATAAATTTCTAATCCTCGTCCTCGTCACCGTCTCCGCTTCCCCTGTACCTGCCCAAGTAACATAATCCAAAATTTTAAATAAATATAATATTTTAAATAATCCAACAACATTCTAAATAATCTAACACAACATAACGTAGATTGTAAAATGTAAAAGCCAAAATAATATAATATTTTATTTAAAGTGTTATTGGACTACAAAAAGAGAATTGAAACTATTAGAGACAAAGGAAGAAAAGGAAAATAAAATTAAACTAAGAAAACAATAGCACTACACTTGATATTTCGTAGAAGAATTTTTGCTATTACAATTCATATTACAGTCATAAAGTGTTAAAAGATGAAAAATTAAAATTTCGTTAATTCAATAATTCTACCTATGATGAAATACAAAACCATCTTACTCTCTCTTATGTGTTTTTAGAGCATGGTCAATTCAAACTCCTAACAGCTTCAATCAGTGAGCACACATATAAAAAAGAACAATCAGGGAAAAAAGTTGATAAGATTATTATATAGCAATGTCACTTGTTAGTTTGATTACCATATTTCTAGATTGATAGTTACAGTAAATATGTTCAGTTAGGACTTTGGAGTATATATATATAACGGGTAGCAGAGGCGGGGCGGGGGTAAGGGTAAGTTTATCCCCGTATGGGTTTATACGGGTATCTCTGTATACGTCTATCGTCCAATACGTATAGTCCATCCTTGGTCCAAACGAGACGGGTTTGGATGAATATCCAATTTTTTCCGGTCCACAGCCATCCCATTGATGCGTCACGAGCCCAGTTGAGAGCCAAGCAACTGGGCTGATGACTATTCAATGGGCTTGGCCAAATTACCCCATCCAGTAATTCTATGACCCATTGCCTATCCTTCAGTCCAGTCCCACTGGGCCTATTTCTTTCCATTCTTTTTTGAAATTTGACATTCTAAATTGTTTTTCCATATTTTGTTGGGTCAATAGTCCAGGCTACAGGCAAGCCATAATCAGGCTAGCCCCATTGGGCCTACCGGGCCAAAGCCACTGTCCATGGGCTATTCGCAACAATCTTAGGTTTAGTTTTGGTATGTCTCACTTCACTAAAGAAAATGCCTTGTGTATGCAGTCACTGCCATTTGGTGGTGTGAAAGACAGTGGATTTGGAAGGTTTGCTGGTGTAGAAGGATTGAGAGCTTGCTGTCTTGTAAAATCTGTTGTGGAGGATAGATGGTGGCCTTTCATCAAAACTAAGATTCCAAAGCCTATTCAGGTGAGCTTCCGAACTTTCCACTGTAATTCACAAAAAGTCTGTAATAACAAATTGATTTTCTCACTATTGGACCAATGTAGTACCCTGTTGCGGAGAATGGCTCTGAGTTTCAAGAATCACTTGTAGAAGCACTCTACGGCTTGAATATCTGGGACCGTTTGCGGGCATTGGTGAATGTTATCAAAATCCTTGCAGAACCGAATTCGCCTACCAGCAATAAGAGAAGAAATGAGTGAGCACTATTATGCTATCTAGCTGGCAACATATTCACTGGTTTTCTGACTAAACAAGGCACTTACCGTCAATCTAGCTCAGGTGAGATTCAAATTTCAAAAACTAAAAGAGTGAGGCAACATTTGGGGAACTTTTTATTGTTGTCTTTTTGGCATAAAATGTATTGCTTTCCCTCCCTTTTTCCATCCTACTTGCCCTTGGCTTTATTAATTTTTCATCTCATAAAACTCTAAAACCCACTGCTTGAACAATACAAACTTGAAGGGGTGGTTGAGGTTAATTCCCCTTCAAGATGAATCACACAATTCACTAACAGTTAAAAATACCTTGTTAATATATTGTTAACCATGGAAAACATGGCATCTTTAACTAAATAATAATATTGTTTTTAATAGAGATGCATTACCTAGTAACTTGCCTATAAATAAATGGATTAATGTGAGTTCTAAATAAATTAGGTAATAAGATTTATTTTAATTAAGCAAGTTAAAATGGATTATAAATGAGTATTTATTTATTTTATTAAAAACACAGTAAAATCAAATAAATATACAAAATATACACACACTAATACACAGCACACATATATTAGTACACCAAAGAAACACTAATACACTCAAGTTGATCCATAGCCCATGATGCACTCCACTACCCCACCTTGACATCGACTCTCTGCGTGTATTTGGATGTTTTATTAAATGTATGTTTTTTCGTGTTATTTATATTTTTTATATATTAGTGTATTAACCTGTATATATTAACAATTTTAATTATTTTATAAGTTAAATAAGTTTAATCCAACCCATTATAACTGACACCCAACTTATCTTAAATTAACTCGTAACCAATTCAATTCAATCCGTCCATTTACCATCTCTAGTTCTCAGTACACAGTCTCATTCCATTAAAAAACATGCAAATTTCTAGCATTTTTCTTTTGAAATAGAAATGCATATGCATGCATCTACCAACACGTTTACATGGACTATAACTTAGAAACTTGATCCACCCATTTCACGTCAAGATGCTTAATAACAATGCTTATTCGACGGCCTGAAATCCAAGGTGCCGTGTTCGTTGGTGTATCCAAATATTCACAATCTCATTCACACTTTAATGCACGGGTGATTTCCCATGTAACTGCGTCAAGCTCTTGTTCAGTTCGTGCATAACAACAGTTCACTAGTGCAACTGCGAACCTTTCATGCTCAAGCGAAGACGGATACATGATTTGTTCTTCCTGAAATATGACCACCAAGGAAAGGGAAAAAAGAAGATAAGCGAATATTTTACTTTGTAAAGTTAATCTTCTCAAAACGAAGCTAATTTCATCATCACCAAGAGAAAGAAATGACTCAATATCAAATTGTCACGTAGCACAAAAAGTGTAAACAAGATAAGTCCAATAGCAAGTGTCGCACATTCTCTCCTTAGACTTTTGTATCTTGTTTGGGGTGGGTTGGGGGTAATGTATTTTGAGTAATACTACTGAAATTTAATTTGTTAGTCTAATTTATCATGACATTTAGATTAATTGTAAATCCTATCAAACATTGAAAATTAATGTTGATCTAATATTTTTTTAATCCAAATAGCATTACTCGTGTATTTTTTCTCTAAAATGTGCACATAAATTAAATATTTAAGGACCAACAATACTTCTTATTTGGTGAAAATTTTATTTTCTTGAGGTCAAAAATTTAAATCTCTTCCTCTTCTCTCTCTTTCTCCCCCAACCCACCCAAACAAAAAATACTTTATTGCCTCAGTATCACATGTTTTAATTTTTTGAAAACTCCTGTTGTTACGAAATCATGATTTAAACCCACTTTTTAGTTAAGAGTGTTTACAAACACGGTATAAGTGAAATTGGTTCACACACACACACACACTTAAGTATATAGAGTTGTGTGTTGATGTAGAGAGAGAACATTACCTCGGGCAGTTCATAGAATTCATCTGGAGATATTTGCAGCAACTCTGAAGCAGTCTGACCAGTACACCATGCAAAAACTTTTGCACTTTCATCTGCAAGTGTTATTTTCAAATGGAAGGTACGCACAACCTCGCCATTGCAATTACAATGACAGAAGTTGCACTTCAAAATCCCACTTGGCGTCTTGTCAACAAAATGACCACAAAGGACATGTGACAATCTCGTATTTACATGACAATGTTCAATCTGGTCCATCCAAACCCAACATATCTGAAAATTCACAAACAGGGATAAAAACATTAGGATGCGGAACAATGCTACATGTCTAAACACGACTACCATCTTAAGCAAGGAGCAAATTACCACGACTTATAATAAATAGGGCTCTGAAAGATTAAAAACTTAAGGATAAATATCACGGGTATCTTTTGACAAGAGTTCAATTTAATCCCTCAACTTTTAATAGTTTAAAAACCTAAACAGTCAACTCATTCCACCAAATTCTGTGGTAAAACAAATGGGAAACTCAAAAAATTGGATTTTAGATGGCAACTTGGAAAGAGTGTATGATAGGCGTAGTCCATTCAGACCAGGTAATAGACTTGGGCAGGCTTAAGCTCTCTTAAAAAATTTTGGATTTAGACGGGTCAACTATTGGGTCTATCATATTTCAAATTTTTTTTTCAAGCCGTATAACAGGTTCCATAGGCCAACCCAACCCGTGGACACCTNTAAAGAGTGTTTACAAACACGGTATAAGTGAAATTGGTTCACACACACACACACACTTAAGTATATAGAGTTGTGTGTTGATGGAGAGAGAGAACATTACCTCGGGCAGTTCATAGAATTCATCTGGAGATATTTGCAGCNTCTAATTTTTTTTTTTTAATTGATTGAAATCTAATTTGTTAGTCTAATTTATCATGACATTTAGATTAATTGTAAATCCTATCAAACATTGAAAATTAATGTTAATCTAATATTTTTTTAATCCAAATAGCATTACTCGTGTATTTTTTCTCTAAAATGTGCACATAAATTAAATATTTAAGGACCAACAATACTTCTTATTTGGTGAAAATTTTATTTTCTTGAGGTCAAAAATTTAAATCTCTTCCTCTTCTCTCTCTTTCTCCCCCAACCCACCCAAACAAAAAATACTTTATTGCCTCAGTATCACATGTTTTAATTTTTTGAAAACTCCTGTTGTTACGAAATCATGATTTAAACCCACTTTTTAGTTAAGAGTGTTTACAAACACGGTATAAGTGAAATTGGTTCACACACACACACACACTTAAGTATATAGAGTTGTGTGTTGATGTAGAGAGAGAACATTACCTCGGGCAGTTCATAGAATTCATCTGGAGATATTTGCAGCAACTCTGAAGCAGTCTGACCAGTACACCATGCAAAAACTTTTGCACTTTCATCTGCAAGTGTTATTTTCAAATGGAAGGTACGCACAACCTCGCCATTGCAATTACAATGACAGAAGTTGCACTTCAAAATCCCACTTGGCGTCTTGTCAACAAAATGACCACAAAGGACATGTGACAATCTCGTATTTACATGACAATGTTCAATCTGGTCCATCCAAACCCAACATATCTGAAAATTCACAAACAGGGATAAAAACATTAGGATGCGGAACAATGCTACATGTCTAAACACGACTACCATCTTAAGCAAGGAGCAAATTACCACGACTTATAATAAATAGGGCTCTGAAAGATTAAAAACTTAAGGATAAATATCACGGGTATCTTTTGACAAGAGTTCAATTTAATCCCTCAACTTTTAATAGTTTAAAAACCTAAACAGTCAACTCATTCCACCAAATTCTGTGGTAAAACAAATGGGAAACTCAAAAAATTGGATTTTAGATGGCAACTTGGAAAGAGTGTATGATAGGCGTAGTCCATTCAGACCAGGTAATAGACTTGGGCAGGCTTAAGCTCTCTTAAAAAATTTTGGATTCGGACGGGTCAACTATTGGGTCTATCATATTTCAATTTTTTTTTTCAAGCCGTATAACAGGTTCCATAGGCCAACCCAACCCGTGGACACCTCAGAGTTTGATGCAATGATTTACATGATTTATTTAACTACACAGTCAATTTCATCGAATACTCTACTAAATTTCTTGTAACATGGAAACACATTAATATACAAATAGCAAACAGCAAAAACACACAACACAATCAGATCTACAATGTCTTCGAATAATCTGCCAAAAATATGGAACTACATGTTAATAGCCAATGCGTTATCATTGGCAAAAACAAAAAGTAAAAGCATTAAATGAGATGAAATTGGCACCCCAAGGACTAAAAGCACACAAACAGTTTCAAGAATTTGTTGTAAATTATGAACCATCCTGAATTCGGAACTAAATAGACAAATAAAATAGAAGTACCTGTGTACTGCTAGTCTGGGTTGATAGGTCAGAAAGGTGCGATAACTTGTGGAGGCAAGATGAGTTTAGCATTGCTGGTAAGCAACTAATGTTTATGACCGATGCTCCAACATCATTCTCATGCCATAGTACTTCAAGGCTGTCAAGATAAAAATAATCTGTTAACAAGATTGGATGTTCCCTTGTAGACTATGAGAAGAGCGACGAGTTCAAAAGAACTAGCTTAAAAGTTTTTAGAGTGATAAAACGTTGGGATTTTCTACAGCATCGAACCTTAACAAAATTCACAACTCTAACAGATCAAATTAAGTCTCAATGAAGTTGAATTAAGATTTATCCAAAAAACTTTTGATCAAACCAAGTTTTTAGAATCAATCTCAAATATTTGGACCTCATTGACCTCGTGAAATAGTAATTGACCTCTGAGTATAATAATTGGCCCATATTTTTTCACTAACCAGTACCTTAGATTTTTCTAAACCATTATATATAGTCCACCAATCGTAAAGCTGAAAACGAATGTGGAATATGNAATTTTGATCAAGCCAAGTTTTTAGAATCAATCTCAAATATTTGGATCTCATTGACCTCGTGAAATAGTAATTGACCTCTGAGTATAATAATTGGCCCATATTTTTTCACTAACCGGTACCTTAGATTTTTCTAAACCATTATATATAGTCCACCAATCGTAAAGCTGAAAACGAATGTGGAATATGCTCACCGCTTTTGCTTTGTCACGGAGCATGTCAAACCAGATATATACACAGTGTGACCAAGGCCTAATCTCCCCAATGACCTAAGAAGCATAATTTTCAAAAAGGAGTATGTAAAGGAAGATATTGGACTCTTTAAAGGAATAAATGTAATATAATGTTAGATAGGGCAATTATAACTACCAAGATCTCACAAAATGTAGCTTTGCCCAGACTGCTCCAGTTGTGTCTTCAATCCNGGAGCATGTCAAACCAGATATATACACAGTGTGACCAAGGCCTAATCTCCCCAATGACCTAAGAAGCATAATTTCAAGTAGGAGTATGTAAAGGAAGATATGGGACTCTTTAAAGGAATAAATGTAATATAATGTTAGATAGGGCAATTATAACTACCAAGATCTCACAAAATGTAGCTTTGCCCAGACTGCTCCAGTTGTGTCTTCAATCCTTAAAGCAAAAGTGATCTCTGCTGTATTTCTTTCCCTAGAAATATCTGTGACAATACCATAGAGGCTGATGCCAGTCATCTTGTCACGAAGATCCACAACAAATGACTGCAAGACTTTGAACATGTAAGCGGGTTTAGTAAAAAATTAAAGTAGAAAAGTGACCACAAGTATCATGAGTGCTAGAAAAACCAAAAGCCTACTTTGTTCTTGATGCAATAAATTCCAGAGACATTGCAAGTTGAGTACATTTCATTGACCAACAGGCTTTTAGTCCAATTGTATTTCTTACCTTATAAAGACTTTGCCTTCTGGAGATCAAGNGCCTACTTTGTTCTTGATGCAATAAATTCCAGAGACATTGCAAGTTGAGTACATTCCATTGACCAACAGGCTTTTAGTCCAATAGTATTCTTTACCTTATAAAGACTTTGCCTTCTTGAGGTGAAGAGTTCAAATCCCCTCNAGAACTTGCAATAAAAGGCCTATCAAGAGCAAGCATACTTCCGACACTGTAGAAGAAATTGCACTATGGTCATATATACAAGGAAAGGAAATATAGTAAGAAGCAAACCAGTACAATGGTTTACGGTTTACCTGAAAAGATTGGCAAGCAGAACCTGCTCACCCCATAATAGAAATTTCAACCTAACACCATCATTATCAACAAGAGTGATTTGTTTTGTCTGCAAATTACCATTCTTTCCCCGACTTTCCAGTGACCTAATAGATTCAATCCTGCACATAAATGGAGACAAACAAGAGTGGAAGAAAATCTTATCAGTGAAAACATACTCCAAACCCACTGAAATGAGATGGTTGGGAGTCTTGGGACCCAAGTTATCCGTGGTTCATGAGTTTCCATGATGCACAAATACTCAAATCAGGTTCTTATTGTAAACACACTGACTTTGATTATGGCCTCAAATTTCACATAAGCTAAACATTATGCAGAAAACATCTACGGATCCCCGAAGAGGAGTCATTGTTCAAAGCTTAAACTGAAACAGCAAATTATCATTATGATAATTCAAGATATAAATGGAATGAATTTTATCTCACCTTGCATACAATGAAAAAGAGATCCCTTTGTTGGCTGCATCAAGAGTAATGGAAGAGAATGAATCTGAACAAAACTGTGCCCCTAGCAGCATTGCATCATCATCTTGGTCCTGCATAGAAGGGTAAATGTAACAACCGAGAGAAGAACGAATTCTCTCAATTCTTAAAAGTACATGAATATCAACATGGTCACAAAAGTTAACATTAGATAAAGCACAACAGGCTATATGAGACAAGGTGCGAATGGAAGCACAAGTGTACATTCCATGGTCAAATCATAATTTTTAATAGTAAAATAACTTATTTCTGTCCTAAATCAAATGAACCACATTTTATGTTTTAAGTAATAAATGACCAGCATGTGTAAATAGTGAAATCTGTGCCCAGATATGGAAGTACTACCCAATCGAATTAGTAATATATTAAGAAGTTACTAACATAAAGCTATAAAGGTGTTGATTTGTAATCGTACAGCTTTCATAAACTATTAACTACTACCAAACAAAATAAGGCTAGTTTTGAAACATGTGCCAGATGATGAATAGATGTATGAATGTAAAGCCTAGCTAGTTCACGGATCCTGGAAGAACATTTAATCACACTTTCAGGTTGTTCTCCCCACAGCCTGCCCATCCTTAGTCAAAAGTCTATGATTGAGTGTTTCTTTGTTTGTCAATTTCTTATTTTAATAAAAGAGAAAAGTAAGAGGAGTTACAAGAGAGTTTAAAACTACCTCATCTAACAATATTACAAGATATTCAGTTGGTAAAAGTCGTGGATGACCAGATCCTTCAGATGCAGTCCGAAGATAGCATCCTGTGAGGAAAACCTCCCGCCCTTTTTTCAGAATGCCATTGTTAGGATCAGCTAAGTTGTAAAACCTGTTGTAGTTAGCAAGCGGCAGATGTTATTATCATCTCACCTCCAAACATGCACAAACTACTCACAATGAATACAAAAGGAAAAGGAGGATAGGAGGAACATGGCAACGAGAAATTTCGATGTCTTCTTGTTTTTTAAGTGTTCACTGTTATAAGTGAAAATATTGTATCAAGCAACATGCTTCATCTTGTTACTGAACATTTCCCTAGGTCTTTCCCTGAGAGTTATAACCAAAAAAGAAAGTGTTATGGCTGTCAAGTCAGCGGACCTCTTTTCCTGCCAATTCACGACCAGTATTACTGATGAACCTCTAAACAAATCAGCATGGAGTACTCAGGTTTAATCCAACTCACTACAAAATTCATTTAATAAGAAAACGATACGAGTTGAGTGATAAATTAGCTCAGCTATGGAATTTAGCTATACACAGCGACATATGACACTCACAAACATTTCAAGTTGTCAACAGAGAAGAAAATAGAGAAATTTATGATAAGGTGAGATATTGAGGAGTTGTGGGCTTATGTTGCCTAGGGGAGCTGCAACCAGCTAGAGTGTAACATTCAACTCAACCGTAGTTAGAAAAATCCTAGTGGTAACTTGAACTGCCTTATATTCTACCTGCGGTGTAGATATAGATCAATGGTATTAGAGCTCCAAAAATCCCCCAAAGTAAGCATGTAGATATTTGTCCCTGAAAACAATCAAATTGCATCGTATGAATAATGAACCAAGTTTAAATATTCAAGCAACGAATATATCAACCTTAAACCATACAAATTTGTAAGAAACATTCACAGGATTCATATCCGAATTTCCACTACTCCTGAAACCATTATAGCATTGCATATAAATTACCAATCAAGAAACCTATAACACTCACTATTATTTGATACATATAAAGCATGGATTGGTTTATGGAGCTTCAATAAAATGATTTCTCCATAAAATCCACATCTACACTAATAGATTGCAATGGGCAAGAAGTTGATATAGTTCTTACAGAAGAATTTAAGAAAGATTGCAATGCCTCAGAGTAGGTTCCTTAGTGAGCTTAACTAATAATAATTAACCAAACAGAAACTCGTTCATGATTAAGGCACTTATACAATACCGGGAAGAACAAAAGCATCGACAATAACAGCTTCAACCACACTGCTCAACGACAAGAATTTCTTCTCATAAATCGAATCAATCGTAACTGTGTTCGGAAGCTTCGCTCTCTTATGCTTCTTTTTCAACTGATTAATAAATTCCGGCCTTTTCTTCGGAGCTCCACTCTTGTGCTGCTCATTCCAAGCCTAATATTCCAAAAATATATATTCAAACATTTCAAAAATCATCCACATCAAACAACAATTAAATCAGATTATTTGTAATTCAGAACACAAAACAAAGAACCTGAGAGAGATCGGAGAGAAGAATTGCAGAGGTGACACCGCTCGAATAAGCGATACAAGTCCTTAGGATCCGAGATGCGATCCAACTCCAACCTGGCCCGCTCGAATTTTCTTCGTTTTCGTCTTCGTCTGGTGATAACATCGACTTGGAGTAATCGATGAATTGAAGAAACGCATCTCGTTCTTGTTCTTGCTCCTGTATAGGATTTTGCTCATCGTCGACCTCCATGGCTGATGGTGCACGATCCTTCGTACGGTCGATGAGTACTTGATCGGCGGGAGAAATCATTACTCTGATCAGAGAGTTTCAGAGAAGAGAAGCTAATAAGGTTTGAATTTCGATGAGAGAAGTGAGAGAGATTCGGACACGATACTCTCTCCACTGCCCTCTAATTAAACCCTAACCTGACACCTGTGACCTGTGGTGAGACAGAAATGAAACGGCGGGTGTTGTATTTGAAACTTGCGATCGATTTTGTTTAGCGCGGGAAACTGGAAGACATAAACGATGTCGTTTTTGTCCATTGGGCCAAATGGGCCCAGTGAATAGCTCTATTACCCACCAGGCAGAGTGATGTGCTATTTTTGACTTCCAAGTCTTGATAAGTTGATCCAATTAAAACCCACAAAGGTGACCCATTGGGCAATCCCGCAACCTGGCCCATCGGCCACATAAAAATCACAAAATGTATTTGAGAAATGTTATTAGGACCTCACCTAATTTGTTGACTTAATTCACTATAACTTTTGGATTAACTATGGAACTCATCAAACATTAAAATTTGGTGTTAATCTAATAATTTCAATAAAACCACATCATTAAATCTATTTTTTAGATCCAAATAACCTGAGTCGACATTTTTAAAAAAATGAAAATATTTGGCTCACATCATGTTATTGCATAGGAAATTGTCTTACATAGAGGACCCAAAAAAAAAAAAAACAACTAAAAAGGGTAGGAGATACGACTTTCGGGCAGTCCTCCATTCAAATACAAGAACCTGAAATGGTTCAAGAGTATTTGATAAGAATCAGAAAAAAAAATAGGGAAGTATTTTTAGGGAAAATCAAATGTAACACCCCCACCCCCCAACACACACACACACACACAAACACACACATATTAGTATGGAACAAGTCAGCACCCAAAAACATACAAATGTGAGGGGCATTCTGAAATAAGAAACTTTTCTCCAAGTCAGGAGTCTATTCAATATAAGTACACTACAAAGATGAAAATTTTAACTTTTTGTAGATGTTTTTACATGCTGGTCGTATAGGAAAATATCCTTGAGTAGCTGAGTGGGAAGATGTGCAAATTCTAACCTGCAGAAGAATGTGCACGGGGATTCTTTAGTCTGGATTCATGTACNAATAAGCGATACAAGTCCTTAGGATCCGAGATGCGATCCAACTCCAACCTGGCCCGCTCGAATTTTCTTCGTTTTCGTCTTCGTCTGGTGATAACATCGACTTGGAGTAATCGATGAATTGAAGAAACGCATCTCGTTCTTGTTCTTGCTCCTGTATAGGATTTTGCTCATCGTCGACCTCCATGGCTGATGGTGCACGATCCTTCGTACGGTCGATGAGTACTTGATCGGCGGGAGAATTCATTACTCTGATCAGAGAGTTTCAGAGAAGAGAAGCTAATAAGGTTTGAATTTCGATGAGAGAAGTGAGAGAGATTCGGACACGATACTCTCTCCACTGCCCTCTAATTAAACCCTAACCTGACACCTGTGACCTGTGGTGAGACAGAAATGAAACGGCGGGTGTTGTATTTGAAACTTGCGATCGATTTTGTTTAGCGCGGGAAACTGGAAGACATAAACGATGTCGTTTTTGTCCATTGGGCCAAATGGGCCCAGTGAATAGCTCTATTACCCACCAGGCAGAGTGATGTGCTATTTTTGACTTCCAAGTCTTGATAAGTTGATCCAATTAAAACCCACAAAGGTGACCCATTGGGCAATCCCGCAACCTGGCCCATCGGCCACATAAAAATCACAAAATGTATTTGAAAAATGTATTTGAGAAATGTTATTAGGACCTCACCTAATTTGTTGACTTAATTCACTATAACTTTTGGATTAACTATGGAACCATCAAACATTAAAACTTTGTGTTAATCTAATAATTTCAATAAAACCACATCATTAAATCTATTTTTTAGATCCAAATAACATGAGTCGACATTTTTAAAAAAATGAAAATATTTGGCTCACATCATGTTATTGCATAGGAAATTCTTACATAGAGGACCCAAAAAAAAAAAAACAACTAAAAAGGGTAGGAGATACGACTTTCGGGCAGTCCTCCATTCAAATACAAGAACCTGAAATGGTTCAAGAGTATTTGATAAGAATCAGAAAAAAAAATAGGGAAGTATTTTTAGGGAAAATCAAATGTAACACCCCCACCCCCCAACACACACACACACACAAACACACACATATTAGTATGGAACAAGTCAGCACCCAAAAACATACAAATGTGAGGGGCATTCTGAAATAAGAAACTTTTCTCCAAGTCAGGAGTCTATTCAATATAAGTACACTACAAAGATGAAAATTTTAACTTTTTGTAGATGTTTTTACATGCTGGTCGTATAGGAAAATATCCTTGAGTAGCTGAGTGGGAAGATGTGCAAATTCTAACCTGCAGAAGAATGTGCACGGGGATTCTTTAGTCTGGATTCATGTACATCTGTGGGATGAAACTCAGAGCTTACTAATCGCTCCCCATGAACCATGGGACAAGCACATTGCAAGTTTATTGGTCTTGAGTTATTGTTCTAAGCAGCAATGATCAAACATTAACCTTTTGTGGGTGTTGCAACAGTTCTGTTGTTTGCTCGCCATACGCGACTTGATGATTTTAATTTCATCGAAAGTTGCTTCTGAGATGTTCCCAACTGAATATCAATTTTTGAAGGGTCCAGAGACAGTTTTTCGCGAATAAAAGCATCTAAATCAAATCCGCTTGCACTTTCTCTCTGATTACTTGATGCGGCTGAGTCTTCTTTGATGCCACCGCCATTTGCTCCTAGTAGTGTTTTACTGGAAGAAACATTTGCTTTGGACTTCCAATTCTGATCAAAGTTGAATAGTCTCTTTATGCTATCAACAGTTGGATCAATGATGTCCAAGAACCCCATAACCCATGACGCATCATCAACAACCTCCGTACGCTGTACCATTAAAGCAATCAGAACTTAGATTTCAGTGGAGCATACATATTAACAGGTTCATAACTCACGTATCTAGCACCAGGGCCAAAACTTCATATGATCACAGACTTCAGCAACCAGAAAACTCAAATAGTGGACAACTTATAATAAAATTTTGGTAATCAGATTTAGCAGCATACGACAATCATTTAGCTTCAGGAGTCTTCATGGTCATATGCTGTTCCAATAGCCATATTAAGCCTCAAATTGAAGAACAGGACCATGAAAGTTAAGTTTTTGAATATGGAGTAATTATAATACGTAGTGGCAAAAATGTAACTGAATAAGTATTTGGACAGAGACTGCCCAGGAAAACAAACCTGATATCTAATTTGTAGCATTACTCAAACTAAATGACTAAACAGAAGGAAATATTTGGATGTGAGGATTGTATCATTAGGGCAGCACTCGATGTTGGAGAGCTTCTTGTAATAACTGAATGATGTAGTTGGTCATGCCAAATACCTGCTGAAAATAGAGGTTACGGATTTCCTCAGCACGCACTGTATTCCCCTGATCTTCCTCCAAAGACGCCCATGTCATCCATGTTACGTAGCTCTGAGAATTGATGTCCAGTGATGATCTAAACAATCTCCGAGCTAATGATGGATTGCCAATTCTCTGTTCCAAAACGCCCCAAGCCTGCATTATGTAACAGAAGGCCCCAATTTTACAGGTTGTACAGTAAGTTTCCATACAATTTTTGGTTCAAAACCTACAGTTACTGAAGGGAATTTCTCTTAATAAAGAAATCAAAAGATATTAGTTCCCATAAAACAATGAAAGATGCTCACTCTCAGGCTCTGGAAACCGAATAAGTTTTCTGCATAGGAATGGGAATTATTTGAACTAAGGCTCTTTGCATCTTTGGATTTGTAGAGTTACTACCGGCCTTTACAGACTTAGTATGCAATTATATATTTACATACATATACTAAATGAAGAAAATCAATGCATTATAATCAAACGACATAGGTCTCCTTGCCTGAAGGCAGCGTGCAGCACTTTCACTTGTAGAATTAATCGACAATGCTCTTTGGTATAGTTCCCTGGCCGTGTCTATGTTTCCTTCTTTCCATTCCATCCACCCCCAAGCCTAAATTCAGTCCAAGATCCAATCAGCTTCCTAAGGATCCAAAGCCACATGCACACACATATATGTACATACAAAAACAAAGTAATCTTGTCTCAAAAAAATAGTTAAGGTGAAGAAAACAGAGATGACAATATTCCCGAGAATGCAATCTTGCAGTTAATGACAAGGCATAAAGAGACAAAAAGAGTACACGTCTATGAAATTAAGGACATGTAATGGCTATTTAACAAGGAAGGGCTTGTTGGTATTCACCGAGTAGTACTGTTTATCATCTTTTCTACCAAAGGTGTCATTGCAGGTCTAATTTGAGCTCAAAAATCAAAATGGACTTAAGAAAATTAAGGAAAAGCTTAAAAATAACCCACATTCGGTCTTGGTCCTCAAAATTTTAATCCATACACATGTATACACAGATATTTCACATACGGATTTTCTTATTCCTTGTTTATTTTNTGGTCCTCAAAATTTTAATCCATACACATGTATACACAGATATTTCACATACGGATTTTCTTATTCCTTGTTTATTTTTCTCCTTTGGTTTCTTGGATTGGCCATGGGAGAGATTGCTACACAATTAATTCAACAAATTTGCCAAGACTGCAGATGATAGGAACTAAAGTAAAACCAACAGNTTTCTCCTTTGGTTTCTTGGATTGGCCATGGGAGAGATTGCTACACAATTAATTCAATAAATTTGCCAAGACTGCAGATGATAGGGACTAAAGTAAAACCAACACAAAGTCAGATTTAATAGATCATTCGATGACAACTGTGTAATATGGCAGGAAAATTCCTTACAAGCCACACTGGTTGGTGCCTCGGATCCAATTCAGATGCTCTCCTGAACAACAATCGAGCAAGATTTGCTGTTGAATATTTGTATTCCAATAAACCGAGAGATTGAAGGAGAACAGGATCCCTTGGATTCAGTTCATGGCCTATCTTCAGAAGTTTTCTCCCTTGATCTATATTTCCCAAATTTGCTTCAAAGACTCCCCATACGTGCCATGCAAACCTATTCTTGGGACTAGCCTGGACTGCTTTCTGCTTAGGAGTGAAAAATTGTCACATACAGAAAACATAGAAACTATATGCATTTGATATCTGGAGGAACCTAAAGGATTTGTTATATTGCTTCTCACTATATTGGGAGGAAATGGTATCCATGGTCCAAAAAGATTGAGCAAAAGCTAACCTCAAAAAGCTGCCTAGCAGCACGGTTGTTTTCCCTCTGCACCTCTAGCTGTGCCCATGCCTACAGAAAGAAAAGTAAGAGGTATGCAAGATAATTACTTTGTCAAATAACATGCACATGAAAAAGAAACCATCCTCGTAATAGAGAAGCTAGCAAAAAGAAAACTTACGAGCCAACTGGCACAACTTTTTGGATTACAATTAGTAGCCTTCCTGAATAAATATCGGGCTTGCTCAAACCGATTTGCATTAGATTCAAGCATTGCAAGTGTTTGGTATATATACTCATTTCCACCACCATACTTGAGACCTCTGCCAAGAAGATTCCTAGCCTTCTTAATGTTTCCCTGTTTAAGTTCCAAAACTGCCCATCCATGCCAAGCTGCAATATGTCTCTTATCAGCAACTGTGGCAGCATCAAACAACTCCCTAGCTTTCCTTATATTTCCTATCTTATTTTCCAGAACAGCCCAGCACTGTTCCAACAGAACAAGTCCAAGGTGAATTTCTGATGGAAGATAATTCAAAGACAAGACATGAAGTCCACCATACAGTATTCATCTAAACCATAACCTTGTACATGCTGAAACACAGATTACAAAACTTGAAGATGCTATTCAAGGATGCTTGGTAGATTGGCTAAATCTAAGATATAATCATGAATACAGATCTTCAGCAGCAAGGACAGAGTGATGCCATCTAATGTATACTTTGCATGGACAAGAACTTGAAAAGTTGTTTTTTCAGCAAATCTCACCATTTAAACTTGATACCCATATGTATTTTCCGCAAAGTAAGCCAACTCAACTCAACAAAGACTTGTCCGAACATTTTCCCCCACATGTCATTGTTCTTTATTAAAAACTTCACTAAGAAATTAGCTCATTCAACTGCATATAGAAAAATAGTTTAGCTTTGCCTTTATAAGCTCGGAGTAATTCACATGACTCCAAGCATTGTTTAGCAGTGAGAAAGACTTGTGAAATGTAGCTCATATTGGTATGCATACATAGAAGGGAGCCCAAGACAATAATGGGCTTGAACTCTCTTCTCCACTTCTATTCACTGGCAAATTCACAGAAGATGGTGTAAAACTTAAGCAACTGACTTTTGTGGTTGCTGCAGCTTACTAANCTCCACTTCTATTCACTGGCAAATTCACAGAAGATGGTGTAAAACTTAAGCAACTGAATTTTGTGGTTGCTGCAGCTTCCTAGNTGAACTCTCTTCTCCACTTCTATTCACTGGCAAATTCACAGAAGATGGTGTAAAACTTAAGCAACTGACTTTTGTGGTTGCTGCAGCTTACTAAAAATTGTGCTTAATTAAACCATAAACCAAAATTAATTGTCAAATGGCTCATCGTGTGAGACTCCCACTGGGGCCCTCTATGCCAATCCCTCTCTTTCAAGAGGATTCGCAGCATGTCAAGTCCCTAGTAAGGTTCTTTGCTTTGCACCGAATTAAACCACATGCTCCACAACTTGTGCAGGCCCCCATCAATTACCCTATTTTGTCAACAATTTCCGGGAAAGAAAATGTCGAACATTGTCCAGGAATCATAACGAACGCCCATTGGGAAGAAAAAAATAACCCCATAGACTAACATAATGAAAATGTTGAATTGAATTCCACAAATTAAAATGGATATCATCATTCACAGAGACCATGATAGGGTAATACCAACCTGCCAAATATAGGGATTTTCACCTTGTGTTGCCTGGCAGCCTTTCTCATATACAGCTCTGGCTTCATTTGTTTTCAATTGCTTACTTAATATCTTCCCCAATGCCACGTACGGCCGCCCATCGTCCGGCCAATTATATATACACTTTACACATGAGAAATACAACAGATTACCAACAACATCAACCAACAAGTTCTCGAAATATCAAATTAAATCCTATACAATGAAGAACGAAGAATCATTTACTGACCTTCTGAAGTATCTTCTCTGCGTCTTCATATCGATAATTCCTTGCCAAAATCTTCGCTCTATATAGAGCCAAGTCCAAATTGACGGTAAGTGGCTTCTCCGTAGAGCTCGATTCGACCCTTGCCGGCTCAAATATGGGCATCTTCTCCGCAAATTTTGAGAGGCCGACATCAATTAGAGATGTTGAAGCCATCTTATCTTCAACATCCTCAGTCTCATTACTACTTTCATCACCGTCTTCTTCTTTTTTTGTCGGTAACTCCATTACCGGTCGCCGGACGACCAGTAATTCTTCCAAAGACTCTTTCGTATCTCTGATCTCTACGTAAAATCCATTTTGATCATTTTTTTTCTCTTTTTCATTGGGCGATTCAGTTGATTGCGTTTTTTCTTGGAGGACTGGTGTTGTGGAGTCATGGAAGCAGTGTAAGGGTGGTAAGGGAGGATGATATAGAGAAGAAGAATGAAGAATTTTAATGGGAAATATGAAATGGAGTTTGGAGTGATTAGGGTTTTGAGGAGAGAAGACAGTGAAGTGTGGTCTTGAGGAAGAAGAAGGTGGAGGAGAGATTAGACTCATTTCTGTCTCCCCAGTCTTAACAGATAAAACCGTACGTTTTACTTGGAATGGAAGGCGGGCTTTGGGTAGACGAATGCTTGTTTCACAATTACCAATATACCCTTGAAGCAGATTGTTGTGGTGTTTAGCATTTAAGGAAAAAAAAAATATTCACAACTCTATGAAAAATTTTCTATTTCAACATTTATAATTTAGAATTTTCATAATTGGTATTGAATTTTACTTAAGCACCAAATAAACAAAGATGCTGGTTTGAAAAATGGATTTTTCTTCTAAAAAAATTTATTGGGTTATCTAAAAATAGGTATAACTAGGATTGATAATTGAGTCCNTTTAGAATTTTCATAATTGGTATTGAATTTTACTTAAGCACCAAATAAACAAAGATGTTGGTTTCAAAAATGGATTTTTCTTCTAAAAAAATTTATTGGGTTATCTAAAAATAGGTACAACTAGGATTGATAATTGAGTCGNAAGATGTTGGTTTCAAAAATGGATTTTTCTTCTAAAAAAATTTATTGGGTTATCTAAAAATAGGTATAACTAGGATTGATAATTGAGTCGAGTTACTCGGGTTCGGCTCAGATAAAACTTAATTTGAATTCGACTCGTGTTCTAAACTAGCAAAATTTGAACAATTTTTTAGATTCTTTTAAAAAATGAGCCTAAAATGTTCGACGAGTTTATTTATAAAATAGTCGATTTACTCGAGCTCAGCTCAAATTCAAATCTTTTAGAGGTCAACTTGAACTCAACTTATTTTCTAAACGAGACTCACCTCAATTGTCAACCCTAAGTGCTAGTTGAATGTAATTTCCTCAAAATTTATATATGTGACAATATATATATATATATATATATATATCAATATTTTTTCATATATTTTTATCTTCTTGATACATGATTTAGTAAAATAGATCTTCTTAATACATGATTTAGTAAGAAATTTGAATGAGAATTAGTATATATAAGTTTTTTTTCTATTAATACGCAATAAATGATCTACCACTAAAAGAAATTGGAAAAATTAAAAGAGTTTTAGATCAAAATTGCAATCACAGCCCAATTCATTTTTTAATTTATCTAGATAGATAATTAGGTCCAACCTCTGATCTAAGGAGACATAATACAGTATAAATATGATCAAATTTTTCAAAATGAAGAGATCTCTAAGTTTTCCTTTCTAAAATTTTTACCTTTTGTGGTAAGTGAAAATTAAGAGACATAATTATTTTGATAATTAAATTATTAATAGGTCTCGACATTGAATATACTTTATTATTAATTCAATAAATAGTTAGAATGCATTAAATCCGTAAATAATATCTAAATATATATCATTAGTGTTTTAAATTGGGTCCAAAGTTCAATCCGGAGGGAGGTCCTTTTAAGTCATTCCAGCAACGACCATCACTGGTTGGAAATCCGCCACGTCATTCATTCTTCATGTGTGGCTCAGGCATATATCTGCACAGTAGATTTCTATTACACGTGGAAGGCTTTGGTTGGTNTCATTCATTCTTCATGTGTGGCTCAGGCATATATCTGCACAGTAGATTTCTATTACACGTGGAAGGCTTTGGTTGGTTGCGTACCATATATAAGAAAATATTATCTTTTCATAGATGGCAATTGCAATTTGTTTATATTTCTTCTATCCCTAAATATTTATCGTTTAAAATTTTTTAATAGGAATTAAAAAAATTATTAAATAACTGTAATATGNTCGTTTAAAATTTTTTAATAGGAATTAAAAAAATTATTAAATAACTGTAATATGAGTAAAAAATAATTACATAAGATTAAAATACCCTTATTCAATACGTATTGAGAAGAAAAAAAATATGAAAAACACTTAACTTTTACTCAATCTAATGCATTGAAAAGTTAAGGGTAAATTTGGAAGAAAAAATATTAATTATATTTTGGTTTCATTAAATGACAGATATTATGGAACAAATTTTTTTTTGTAAAACGACAGATATTTAGGAACGGAAGGAGTATCTTCCAAGATAAATCGAAATGATCAGTGATATATAGATTTAAAAAATAGGTTTGATAATTACAATTATTAAATAGATTATAGATTCTAATAAATATTGAGACTTACAGTGAAATTAATGGTTGTGATTATCAAATCTATTTTTTAATTTCATATAGCATTGCTCATACAAAATTACCATAAAATTTCTTGAAATATGTTTAAAACGGTATCACTTGTGTCGACCTATTTGATTTTTTTTTGATCAACCAACTAGCAATTGCATTTCATATTAGTCAAAAGAAAAGCCTTTAGCTGGGGGGGGGGTATCCAATTTAGCAGAAGAGAATTGTTTAATTTAGCGGCTGCCACCTAGTGAGCAACCATGTTATAGACCCTAGGCTTGTGTAGGAAGCTAAAATTGTGTAACATAGCATAACATCTAATATCTCTAACAATGACACTGATTTCCCATGGGGGCACATCTTCATTGGAGCTAAGCTTGATGACAGGCATTCAGAATTGTTGCATTAGTGATCAACTGGGCTTCGATAAGGATGCATGCTTGTCTAACAGCCTCTGCTTCAACTAAGAGACTCGAACTAGCTGGGAATGATTTTTCGCTACCAGACATGAAATCGTCTCTCTCTTTCCATGACACCACTCCAGAAGCAACTCTGTCAATATTTGGCTTGAAGGCTCCATCACAGCAAATAACAAACTCAACTACTGAATCTTGTCTTCCCTCTTTGCTCGCGTGTAACTCCTCCAGTCCCATCGGTGCCTCCACATTAG